GGATTTTATCCACAGTGAGATGAGAAGCCTGTGAGTTTGAGCAGAGGAATGACATACTGTGGCTTATATTTACAAAGGATCATTGTGGCTACAGTATGGAGAAAATGCTGTGTGTGTGTGTGTGTGTGTGTGTGTGTGTGTGTGTGTGAGAGAGAGAGAGAGAGAGAGAGAGAGAGAGAGAACAGAGGTAGAAATAGGGAAACAAGTAAGGCTCATTCAATGGTTCAGATCACACATGACAGAGGCTTAGACCAGCCTGGTGAGAAAGTGGGTCTGGATGTATTTTGAGGGCTAAGTTTCCGGTGAATGTTGCTCAGACATTACGTGTGTCTGATCTTTCCCATTCATCTTGAGACATTGATTAGCACACAGTTGTTTCTTGGGCCAAGAATCTGAAGTTTCTGCAGAAGGGCTTTGGGGGTAGGCCTGGAAATGAGAACATCAGATCTTTTTTCCCATTAAGACCTGCAAGCGGCGAAAGTGCTGGAAAGTTGATGCTGGTGTGTTCTCAAGTCTTCCTGGCTCTTCCTAAAGTGGGGACTTGCTAACTGCTAAACCAGAGAAAATGACTGACTTCTCCCCTTGCCTTTGGGAACAGCAACTCTGCTCCTGCAGCTGATGGTCAGAGAGACTGTGCTGGATGGAGAAGCTCGACCTCTGTTTATCCCCGTGCGAGTTGGGGGTCAGGGAGGAGGGGTTGGGGAAGGCCTCAGGAAGATCAAATCAGGGACTCTGCTTATATTCCCTGGAAGATTCCCTGGCCAGCACCCTTTCTGCTCCCTCCCTTGTAACAAATGCCAAATTGCTCTGTAGCAGGAATCTCCCAATTCCTCATCATCAATGAGATGGCAGGGGGTCTAATGAGTGGGGTCTTTGGGAAGACTATTGCTTTTCTGATTAAAAAAAAAAAGTATGAGATCTGAAATAGGAATTTGTATCATGAAAATGAGAATCCAGTTCTAAGGATGGTGACACAGAAAGACACAGGGACTGGGGGCTTTGATGATGCCGAGATTTGCAGAGTTAGTTCTTCACTCAGCCCCATTGCTGGGTGAGAAAACCATCTGGGTTAGAATGGGTGGGTGTATTTTTCTTTTTCTTTCTGGCTTATTTCGCTGAGCATGATCCCTTCCAGCGCCATCCATGTTGCTGCAAATTGCATGTGTTTATCTTTTTTGAATGCTGAGTAATATTCCATGGTGTATATGGACCACATCTTCTTGATCCAGTCATCTATTTTTGGGCATTTGGGTTGTTTCCATAGTTTAGCTATTGTAAATAGTTCTTTAGTAAGTATAGGGATGCAGGTGTCCTTTTGAATCAATGCTTTTGTGTCCTTTGGGTAAATCCCTAGGAGTAGAATTGCTGGATCATATGGAAGCTTCATTTACCGGATGTTCTCACTCATAGCAGGAATTTAGAAAACCCAAATAAGGGATCAGGAAAAAGACTAATTATAATAAAGTAAAATCAAAATCAGCAGGCAACTATAAACCAGAGATACACTACAGGTGGGCAGAAAGAAGTAGGATCAAAACAAGAGGGGGGGTGGAATTTTACGGGGTTACTATAACCAAGATGAAAATGCGTACATTGTGCAAAAATGAAAAATGATTGTAAGGGCAGGACTGGCCACTGAGCAGGTTTTCTGATCCCATGCAGACCGGGTAAAGGAGCAGTCAGAGTCCTCAGTGGTTTTTGCAGGTCTTTTATTGGGGTTCACCAGACAAATGGCAGGCAGGGGTGCTGGCGGGGCCAGGAGACTGGCAGGCCTCCCAGCCCCCAGCAAGTCTCCACTCTATCTGGGCTCTCCGGCCTTCTCTGCTTCTCTCTCAGCTTCTGCTACTTCTTTTTCGGCTTCTCTTTCGGCTTCTACTGGCGTCCCCGTGATGCCGCCCTTAAAAGCACAGTCTTGGCCCAGGTGTACCCACTCCAGGTGCCCGCCATCAGGCATGCATTCAGGATCACAGGGTTCCCTCATCTATCCTGATGGCGGGAGGGCAGAAAAGCCTGATTTTTTACCTTACCCTGCAATGATGTAAAAAATACATAAAAGAATAAAAAAAAAGAATGGGAGGGTGTAGCAGAGCTCATCCCCTTCGGCTGAGTGGTTCTAACTGTGGCCCTCATTTCGGCCTTGATGATGGGCACTTGACTCTGCACTTAACCTGCTTGGAGCCTTAGGCACAGCCTTAAGCATCTGAGCCTCACTTTCTCATTTCTATAATAAAGACAATAGTATTTATTATCTTAGTTGGGACAATAGTTGGGACCTGAGCGAATCCCAAGGAATTCTGTAAGTTCCTAAGGCCTCATGGCTCACTATGGTGGTGGTTGTTAGCGCCAGGCTTTTACCTTCAGAGAAGATGGAGCCAGTTTTGTTTGACAGGACAGGTAAGGCAGGAAGGAGCGGTTGGTGGGGAGGGAGTTCACCCTCAGAGGTAATGAACAGGCCAAGATGCAGAACATTTTGCAGTACAAATCAGCCAAGTCTCACCACCAGGAAGCCCACCCAAAGGTGTGCACTTGCCTGAGGCCTAGGTGAGCCCAGCCAAGTTCCCTCGGGTGTTTCTTGTGGGCAGGAAACCAGGGTCTGTGTGTGGGTGGGCTGGGCATGCAGGTGCAAGCCCTGAGCAGCTGCAGCTGGTGAGGAGTAAGAGCCCTGGGGTTGCGGGTTGGTCCTCACACTTACCTCATGAGCAAGAGAAAAGCCACAGTGTGTGCGTGTGTTTGTGTGACCATGCCAGGCCGCGGTGGTGGTAAGTCAGGGAGTGATCTTTTAAAACTGGAAATCTAATTTTCCACTTGGCTATTTAAAAACCTTTTTCTGCTCCTAGGCATTTCCCAATAGGAGGACCCGGGACTGACAGCTAAGGATGCAGATTTTTTTTGGCGGGGGGATGTTTATGAAAAGTTTCCAAAATTAATGGTGGCAGTGGAGGCAAAGCTCTGAGAACAGACAATGGGCCACTAAATGATACACTTTAAATGGATGAGTTGAATGGAATTCTAATCGTCTCAGGAAAGTTATAAAAAGAACAAGAAAGGGAATGCTGGGGCGTCCCTGGAGACACAAGGGGTTAAGATGCAGCACTCTGAAGCTATCTGCAGCCACTGCAGCATCAGTTCGATCCCAGCCAGGGAGCTACCCACATGGTGCAGCAGACCTCTCCTGACTTGCCCACTGCTCCCCTCAGCAGTGTATCTCAGTAGATCTTCCTGTTCTGCTCCCCCCTCTGTCTCTGGTGAATCCTCTCACTCCCTACACATCTGGCCTGTACCCCAGTTCTTGTATGCATAAATAAATCTTTTTTAAAAAAAGAAAGCAAATGCTTTCTTAGTTTCTTATTGCCCATACACCTATTATCCATAAAGGATAAAGATTTTTCCAGAATTAATTTCTGCTGACTGTTCTACTCTGGTCAGCAGGGCTGACCAGTATCTGCTAGCCCAGGGGCATCTTCACCTGTAGCTGCAGGGAGCAATTGTATTCTCTTGGCTGCATCTTCTGGCTTCTAGCCTCTGGTTGTGGTACCTGTGCCTTGTCCTTCCTCCATGGACTCCAGCTCTGCTTCTGCAAAATGAAGCTGCACTAACGTTTCTGTGGTAGAGGCTTCCCGGCCTTTGATTGCCCCCATATGGTTCATTCACTGAGCTGTCACCTCCCTTGCTAGACTAGAGCAAATGGAAGGCAAGGATCCTGCTGTATATATCTACATTTTATCTTTAGCCACAGGCATCTCGGGGCAGGAGTTGTGGGGATAGCACTGTTTGTGTAAGCGGGAGTGTTCATGGCCAGCTCTGTCTAGGATGACATCACTCAATGATCATACAGAACAGAGTTTAATCATTGTTGTTGCATTTCCCACCATGTACCCTCTTGTCATTTTTCCCCTGGGGCTGATTACTCCCACCTCCCTGCTTTGGTAAATATTTCATGCACTGCTTTGCATAGAGCAGGCACTTTCTGGATGAGTTGGGTGGCTGGCTCCAGAGGCCAGGCAAAGACTGGGAAGAAAAGCTTGCCCTGTGAAAGGGCCAGAAAAGTGGATGTTCAACAGACATTCCAGGGAGAGAGGCCAGGATCCGCACAGGAGCCAGGAACTCAAGAAGGCTGGCATTTCCATAGCCTATTTCACAAAGCCAGAAGGAAGCCAGATGGAAAGGTACATGGTGACTGTTGCTGTTTAACATTTTCCCCAAGTGCCTTTTTCTTCACCACTGTCCATGTGGGTCTGTCCCTGTGTTTCCTTTGGTTCTCCATTCTTTCTGGGTGCTTCCTTCCTCTCATCAGCTACCAAGTCTCATGTCAGCCAAGATCCTGTCTAGAGCCTCCAAGAAAAGCAACTGACTTCATATCTCATAGTCTTCAATTATTGAGCACCTATTATGTTTCTGGCACAGTACCAGGGACCTGCTCTCTGTCAGGCATAGAACTAGATATTCCAAATGCTTTATTGTAATCTATTTGTTAGTGAAATCCATGACTATTTTTTTTAAAGATTTATTTATTTATGCATACAAGAACTGGGGTCAGGCCAGATGTGTGGAGGGTGAGAGGATTCGCCAGAGACAGAGCGGGGAGCAGAACAGGCAGACTGACGAAGTACACTGTTGAGGGGAGCAGTGGGTACGGCAGGAGAGGTCTGCGTGCCATGTGGGACCCTCGCCAGGGGCCGGGATTGAACCGACACTGCAGAGGCTGTGGGCAGCTTAGCAACCCAGCGCTCAACCACTGCACCACTAGGGGAGGCCCTCTTTTTTTTTTTTCAATTAAATTCCAGAGACACACTATGTGGGGGGCGGGGAAAGGAAGTATTGGGGCCAAAATAAGGGGAGTGCGATTGTATGGGGAATATAAAAATAAAAATAATTAATTAATTAATTAAAAACCTAAAAAGGATGTCATTTTCATGTGAAAACAATAAATAAAATTACAGATTATAATAAAAAATAAATTAAATTCCTTTTTTTCTTTTCTCTTCCCATGACCTAATCAGTGGCGATCATGGTGCATATCTGAGAATGAATACAAATGAAGGCGAGACTCGAAAAGGGCTCCAGAAGGGGAGGAGAAGGCCTCAGAGAAGGGGACTATCAAAAATAAAGACTGGAGATACGGCTTAAAGAGCTTCATCGTTGTTCATTTAGGAAGCTTACAGAGGGTCGGCGTCCAGAAAAGGTCAGTAAAAAAATCCTAAGGATGAGCCTGCGGAGCACAGGAAGGTAGTGCGGTGCTTGAGAGCAGAGATGATGGCCACTTGGCCCATCTTTTGTGGATTTTGCTCCTCCCTCAGGGCTATTGGGAGTGCTCGGTGCAGGCAACAGGCCTGGGGGCAGGACGTGCTGGTGGCCTGTCCCTGCGGGGTGTTGGCGGGGCGTGGGAAGGCTCAGCAGTGCTGGACAGTACAACGGGCATGTCTATCAAATATGAGCACGATTTCATAATGGATCTGGACATCCCAACCAGAATGGAAGTTGCCTGCCATGACCAGGGTGTTGCTAGTCTCCTCCTGATAACTCTTGCCCGTTTAGTAAAGTTGCTGAGTCGTGGGTTGGACGAGGGGGTTTTAGGTGTGGGGTGAGTGGGGACGGGCTCAGGGAATACTTGTGGGCCACCAGCATGTGGTATTTCCATGTTTTAACAACCAGCCAGCTGTCCTGGTGCACACCCATAGAACTTCTACCTTGGGAGCATCACTCCTAAAATTTGCTCTGCTGTGGTGACCGAGCCACAAAACAGAAGTGGATCTGTGTGGTGGAATCACTCAGTTCCCAAGAGCACAAATTTCAAGAAACTGCCAGTCTCCTCGCCCTTGACCTCTCTGACTTCCTAAAAGGTGTTTCTCCTTAGGACGTGTCCTCTTTCTCTCGATGCAGCCCTCTGTGGCATCCTTACCTATTGGGACTCTTGCTCTACGTTCCTCATGCAGGTCCTATGGACTTTAATCAAAGGCAAGGGGAAGACAGCTCGTGGGCTGTCATTAGGATGATAGGATGTGAAATGACCACTGTATTGTTTTCATTTCTCCGAGACAGCAGCCTGGTGCTCTGCGTTGTCAGCTCATTAGAGGATGTCACTGAAAATGCAAAATAGCCCAACTCCAGCTCTATCAGCTCCTTCCAATTCCCTCTGCACAGAGCATCAGAGCTGGAACTTGCTAATCTGATTTCATCACTTGGGTTTTTTATTGAGCTCACTCAGAGGTGGCTGGAGGCTAAAAATAAAAAAAGAAAGAAAAAGAAAATTTTAGGCACTTTTTTGGGGGCCAGACAGCAGGTGTGTTTCCACAACCGCTATATTTAGTCTTCTACCTTGTTCCAGAAGGATTTTAGGCTGTTCTCAATTTGACATGCATCAACTAAACCCAAGCTAGGTAGCTCTTTTTATATAGTAAACTCTTTAAGAAAGGAAAAATTAAGGGTAAGTAATTCCCTATGTAAAAGCATTCTTGACGTTAAACAAATGACAGTTCTTCAGGTCCCCAAGGAAACAGGGGTGAGTATATGCTGCCAGTTTTCAAAATTTCCATTTGCCTTAAGTGTGAGTTGCGGGTAAAACCATTTTCTTCAGTCTTTTCTTTGTATAAAATGGCTCAGTCAATTCCATCCTTAGGACGATAATGGGAGGGCTATTTATTTCTTAAAATGCATGGGTCCCCTAGGACCAGGCAGTATCCCTAAATAGGAAACCAAAGCTCGTTGGGGAAGTGACTCATCCAGTCTAGAAGTTCACATATGAGATGCCCCAGGGTACCTGCTGATCCTGAGTTACAGGCAAACTTTACTGACTACCACGGTGTGGGGAAAAGTCTCAGGGACCAAGATGAGGAAGCTCCTAGGGTCCCAAGCTAGGACGTTGTAAGCCTCAGTAAACATCACTATAATGCTGGAAGACATCCATCCCTTTTACACTGTCAAGAAATAATTCCTTGAAGACAAAATCTTATCAGTTGCCCCCGAAGGGGTAGTCTAGGAGACTACATCAAATTGAAAATGGTAAAGGAAATCATCAAGCATTTACTCATATTTCCTAAGTTAATTTTACCTTGCGAACACCAAGCAATTGCTTGGGAAGTTTTTCTTTTGCTTTTTAAAAATATTTATTTACTTATGCATACAAGAGCTGGGGTGCAGGCCAGACATGCAGGGCATGAGAGGATTCACCAGAGACAGAGTGGGGAGCAGAACAGGCAGAGCTACTCAAATACACTGCTGAGGGGAGAGCGGGAGAGACAGGAGAGGTCTGCTGTGCCATGTGGGTAGCTCCGTGGCTTGCCAGGGATCGAACTGGTGGATAGTGGTTGATCCCCCAAGTCCCAAATTAAGAGAAGAGAATTGCATTCACCACACTCCATCAGCTTTACCCCATGGACTCTGCCCAGATCCCCAAGAAAACAGCCATGTGAGCTCCATTTTCTGCCCTGGAGTCTGTGCCTGCAAGTGGGTCCCCGGGAGTGACTAGAGATGAATAGAAGGGTCAGTCCTGTCCTCATGTTAATTAACTATTAATCGTTCTAAGTAATGGATTAATTGATTCATGATTTTCACAAATGTATTGGCCCTCCAGTTAATGAAGAGCCTGATGCGGTGCCTTTCGGCATTTATCATCCTCCTTGGGACTGACTTGTCCTTCTCAGTGAACTGGCGAGCTCGGCTGTGCACGAGGTGGCAGATGCTGAAATGTTGTGCTTAAGGCAGCTGCTGTGTCCTTTAAGAAGGCAGAGGGAGTGCAGAAACCCGGGGATACAGGCTGGAGAGGGTGAAAATGTGCATAGATGCGCTTGTATTTCCCGTACGCACATGGGCATGGCGGACACGGCTGCTCTCTGCTGTCAGGATAATGGTTCTGAAAAGTTAACCTTGCTCTGCCCTCCTCCAGCCCATCATTCTCTTTGCTAATTCCTCCCTCTCCAAAACAGCCAGGCAATAGAATGCTGGTTGCTTCAGGGGCAGGATGTGGTAGGATGGAAAACAAATAGACTGAGTGTCCTTTCAATATCTGCCCTTAGAGAGAAATATCTATGATGAGGCTGGCTCCGTATCCCCATCCTGACGGCCAAACCTAGATAAGCTTTCCCTGGGGTGGAGAAAGGAATAAAGAGAGTGGGTCAGCGATGGCTTTGTGGAGTGAGGCACCCTGCATTCCACCTCCAGGGCTGGCTGCAGAGTAGGACCAACCTGGTGTCCTCAGCAGACACTGCAGAGACTTGGACAATGCCTACTTCTTTCCAAGGTTGATTCCTTCACTGCTGCTCCTTGTTAATTTCTTCTCTTAGTTTTCCTCCCTTTCTTATTGATTTCTGACCCTTGACCTCATCCAGGTTTGCCCAAATTTGCTTATCCCCAGAGCATATCCCTCTGTTCGGTGGGTTCATCAAGGTGCTGTCTAGCCCTCTTTTACCTCTCCATCAATTATTCCCACCAAAATAATAATAATAATAATAATAATAATATATTTAAAGATATTTATGCATACAAGAGCTGGGGTACAGGCCAGAGATGCGGGGATCGGGCATGAGAGGATTCACCAGACACAGAGTAGGGAGCAGAACAGGCAGACTGACTGAAATACACTGCTGAGGGGAGCAGCGGCAAGACAGGAGAGGTCTGCTGCACCACGTGGGTCACCTCCCTGCCCGGGGATTGAACTCGTACTGTGCTTAACCCCTTGCGCCACCAGGGAGGCCCTGCCAAAATAATAATAATATATTGTTATGGGGTTTTTTCTAAATTAAAAAACAATACATTCTCTGGTCTCACACAAAAAAAAAACCCTCAAAAAACCAGAAAAATATGAAAGAACATGAAGAAGAAAATGAAATTCACTTTAGATGAATTTGGTTGAGAACTTTATCAGCCAAAGATAGCATTATAAACAAATTGGTGTATAACATCTTTTCATGCATACATTATATAAATGACAAAATTGAGATCATACTATATGTGTCTTCTATCTTGAATTACTCACCCACCTTATTAGATATACTTTACATCATACCTTATTATTAGTGAATGTCTTGCATTGCTCTCTTAGTTTGTAAATTTTATCATAGAATATTTTTGAAAGAGTTGTTTATCCCTCTTGTTTTCCATTCACACTGCTCCTTGTCTCCTCAGTTTGCTGATGTTGGTCCCCACTGCTTTGTAGTGATGGGTAAGAAGTTAGCAGAGGCCTCCAAGCTGTTAGATCCAGTGATATCGTCCTGATAGTGAGATTCTGGTCTTCTTTCCCAAGATGCCTCTCTCTTGACCTCTGGAATGCTGTGCCCACTCCAGTCTCCTCATGCTTCATCACTCCTTTTGATATCTCCTCTGTTTGCTTCTCCTGCCACTCATTCTCTTTAAACTGGCATAGCCTAACATTCTGCCATCAGACTATCTACTCTTCACCCCCTTGCTTCATAACATCCCCCGTGGCAATGTGCAGACCACACTCACGTACTCCACACATGCCCAGAGATGCAAAGCCTTGACCCTTCTGAAACCCTGACCCAGTGTCACCCAGAGAAACCAGAGACTTTTGTGTTCCAGTCTGGAGGGCGATGCTGAATTTAAGCTAGCTTTAAGGTAGCTCTGTCTGGGGTCCAAGCCATGTAAAAATGACTCCGATCCTCTTAGGTATTTACCCAAAGGACACAGAATCATTAATTCCAAAGGGCACCTGCAGCACAATTTACAAAAGCTAAGCTTTGGAAACAACCCAAATGCCCCAAAATGGATGATTTTATCAAGATGTGGTGCATATACACAATGGAAGATTACTCAGCAATCAAAAAAAAAAAAAAAAAAAAACTCATGCCATTTACAGCAACGTGGGTGGAGTTGGAAGGGGTCATGCTCAGCGAAGTAAGCCAGAAAGAAAAAGAAAAATACCGGATGGTCTCACTCATAGCAGGAATCTAGAAAACCTAAATAAGGGACCAGGAAAAAGACTAGTTATAATAAAGTAAAAATCAAAATCAACAAGCAACTATAAACCAGAGACGCACTGGGCGGGGGGGGCATGGCTGGGGAGGAGGGATTAGGGTCAAAATAAGGGGGGTGGGAATTGTATGGGGAATATAACCATGATGAAAATGCATACATTGTGCAAAAATGAAAAATGATATAAAAATATATAAAACAAAATAAAATATTAAAATTTTTTTTAATTAAAAAAAGCCCTCAGATCCTATATTA